GGCCAACAGGAAGGCCATACATGGAAGAATTCTAATGAGAGTATAAGATGATGGTAGCTATTTGAGTGGGAGAAGGCGAGAGTGACTGTATACACTCACTGGACAAAAGTCTCCGCAACTTTTGTCGATCAATTAGTAAAAATTTAATTTCGAACTTCTTTATTGGCGTTATTTACAAGCTAATCGACTGTAGTTTTCGAATAAAATACTGGCAAATTTATACAACGTATCATAACAAAGCAACACATATGTTACACATACATTTATATAATTTACATATGTGTAACATATATACTGACAGTTTGGCTCCATTATAACAACTTGCTTAAATTTATGAGTATTTTATTCGAACACTACAGTCAATTAGCTTCAAAGTGATACAAAAATTTTGTTGTTTGCTTAGTAAATAATTCCAATACAGAAGTTCGAAAAATTAGATTTTTCATATGTTTTACTATGATCGACAAAAATTACGGAGTGGATTTATGTAATATCTGATATATCAACAAAATTTTGTGTGTGAACCGGAATGCTCCGCGCGTAATCATTGTGATGTGTATGGTCTATGATGTATGGGTTGCACTAATGACAGTCAAGTGGATTGATTATTGACTGTTGTCTATTGCATTCACATTCAATTTTTTCCCAATATAGAATTAGTCGAAAATGCAAACCAACTCGATAAACAGGGACCGAAAGTCTTTGATTATTTAGTTCCGAATTTCTATAATAATTATTGTTAATATTAGGGTTAAAATTTCAGCTCTATTTCGTAGACCTTTCTTTGTTTGATTAGTTTGTTTGTTCAATTAAAATTGAGACCAGAACCATAACTTAAATATATTGTTGTTCTAATAACGATTGTTTACTGCGTTTACGCCCTTGTGTTGCTTCCTAGTTTTGGAGATCCCGTATCGATTGAAAATGTCCGAATCATGTCAAATATGCATAAAATATAAAACATATGTATACAACGATTAATTATCAAACAATCTACGGCCGTTACGTGGGGTCGATAATCTTTGTTATAGTGATTTCCAAGATACTACACAACGGTATGCATACAATAAGTTTGTCATTCCGTATTCCTAACTTTGTTATTCAAACTTGCTGCGCATAAAACACAAATGAGAAAACTTAGTTAACTCAGAGGGCGCCCAAGTAAGCTTTTTTGAACAATTACACATTCCTAATCTGGATCGTGCACGACACATGATGTTTAAATATAAATGCCTTGCCGGCACATGAATGTTTACAGATAATTGCCTCTCGGTCGAACACTATGTCAACATTGATTACGCACCGTAAACCTGGACGTAAGTTGAAGATGCCTGCAAAGTTAGATTTTACGGGAAAAAGTTGCAGTCATGATAGTTGATAAGAAATCAACCAGAACGAAAAAAAAATACTACCAGTAACGGACAGTTTGGAAAATTCTATCGACATTTTAGAAAATCTGTCAAAAGGGTTAATCCACGTCGGAAACGGTAGTAGACATTTTGTTACAGGGGATGGCATTAATAGAAAAGAATTAGCGACCATGGTAAGATATCTGTTCTGATTAACTTTAAATATCAATACAACTAATATACGTTTATATCACCCGATTGACAGTCTCCGAGCGAGCTAGCTCCTTCAGCGTCTTTTTCAAGATTGCGGCCCGGTCGAAAACGTAGAGCAGTTCCTAAAGAGTTAGATTTTACAGGACATAACCCTATCATGGTAGTGGAGCATCTGAAAAAACGAAGAACGGCAGAAGAAGGCGCAGAATACGAAGAGAAACAGCTTTCTGTCATGTTAGAAAAGTCGGCCAATATTGTAGATGAGTGTAAAACTGTAAATTATGGTATTGGCAGAGAAAAGCTTGCACAAATGGTAAGTTTATGACAAACAATTTTGCGTTATTAGAACAGCATTTAATACAACTATAAATTCTTAGACTACAGAGGAATTGAGAGATTACGCCAAATTCTTTGCAACGGCATTAGCCAAAATTAATCTCAACCAATCTAACAACTGCAACTCTTAACTGGTGGTAAAATTGATAACTTGCGGTTATTGTTATTATGCATCTATAAGATTATATGGACAAGTCATATGAATTTAATAAAATATCTCGTTATGGTTTAAACAATCATATAATGAAGTGCTTATGTCTTGAATTAATTCTCACTCAAAATTGAAATACCCTTTAATAAAAAACTATCGAATAATAGTTATATGTTTATGTCTGGTTTTTTCCTATCAGACTAATATAAGGCGATATGGATTAAATAAGTCAAAAATATGTTTTTGACAATGAATAATATAATAAACATTTTCGTAAAAGGTGTGAAAAATAATAGAATAATCAACAACCGCCGTGTTCTATTAAAATACAATACCATAGTATCACAAACATAGGGGTAGTCTCATACTGTATGAAGTTTTTTTCGCCGGTCATTTGACAATAGTAAACGTATAAGCCAAATTGAAACTACATAAACTCGATCTTCTGAACAACAAAAAAAGGTGCCACTTTTTCGTTATTATTGTAAAATTATCGACAAAAAAAACTTCATATGTGGACTTTCATATGGATATCGTTATGAATCGAGTTTAATCAAAGTAGCACAGTCTGACGCCTTATTATTTTATTGACCGATTGAGAAAGCTTTATTGAGGTACTTCGGTCTTTTCCTGTTTGTTTGCAGTTTTTAATTATACCATAAAAGTAAGTTATTGAATGAGACAATAAGCTGGTTATCATATTATAATAACACACGTATTATTAACATGCTAGACACATTTTAGGAATATAGTAGGAACTAATTTGACTGTAGTTATAATAAATATATTTTACACGTATATACCTAATACATAGTGAATCTCGTTAAACCGAAGTGGGTCGGGAACATAGGTGTGAAATGCTAAGAAATTCGGGTTTTACTTAGTCCTTCGGTTAAACGGGGTTCGGAACATACTGGCCAAGTGTGCAAGTAATTATTAAAAACTAACCGTAGAAGTGTTCAAAGAGCTCTTAGTGTTTTGTATTAATAGATGGCTGTTTTGAAAACGTAGTTCGACATAACTTGTATATTGCAGCTAGAAATAAACGAAAAAAAAAAAGCCCAACAAACTAAGTGTCCGTAAAGTTGGGGGTTTCGAGTGGAAACTTGCGCTATAATGGAGTGTGTCCAATTTCCATTATAACGAGGATTCCACTGTACTAAGTGGTCATTGATTCAATGAAGATAGTTATTCTAATAACTATAGTTTTATTAAAATGAGTTGTTTCAAAGGATAGACATTTATGGTTGAGCTTATAAGCGCAAGTCTCCCAAGAAAGCAATATATTAAGGACGATCCAGATTTCATCGTGTAACAATGCATTGCAACGCACCACTCCCAGCCGCCGTCATCTTAAATTATGTCATCGATGATTCACCGTAAATCGTGGACGTAAGTCAAAGGTTTCTGCACCTGCAAAGTTGGATTTTACGGGAAGAAATGCTGTCATCGTAGTGGATAAGAAATCAAACAGAACGAAAAAATCGGTGAAAAAAGACTGTTCAAAGTGTAAAAAAAATGCTACCTGTAACAGACAGTTTGGAAAATTCTATCGACATTTTAGAAAATCTGCCAAAAGAGTTAATCCACGTCGGAGACGGTAGTAGACTTTTTATTACAGATGGCATTAATAGAAAAGAGTTAGCGACCATGGTAAGATATCTGATCTGATTAACTTTAAATATCAATACAACTAATATACGTTTATATAACAGTCGACCAGTGAACTATCTAACTACGCCG